CTTCTCCGCTGTGGCCAGCCACGGCTGCACCCCGACAAGGGTCACTTGCAACTCAACAGTTGGCAAGCATCACGCCAGAATGTCCTTTTTCCAGCCTGCGTTCCCGCCCCGCTTACAACAGCGCGAGGCCCCCCCGTCCCTTTCTTTGGAGCCTCCGGAGGGGAAGCAAGGATCGCCACAGTCTCTCTGCTGTGGTAGCTGGTAATTGCACAGTTTCCAAGGACTTTTGTTTTGGGTCCTGGTTTCTGATTGCCTCCGCAATTGCTGGTAGGGTATTTCTGAGGTCCTTGTAGGTTATTTATGGTAGTTAAGGGCAGTTTAAGGCCCCTGTCAGTCCCTGGCCTGGCTTTGCTAACGGAGCCGCTTCCCTGAGGGGTCGTTTCTGGTTTTCAGGACTTCGGGTTTTCAAGCATTGCACTGCAAATTCCAGCACGACATGCATACCTTGTGTTGAGGATACGTACACAGATCATCCCAATGGTTTAGAACACTGCAGGAAATGTAAACTGTGTGATAAAGGTAAGGACGATGCTAAAGAACCAGTTTAAATGGATTTTTCGTGCCTTTCATGGATACATTCTCTCCTTCTCCTTTCTTGCTTCATTCACTTGATGAATCGGTTAGAGTATGAAGAACGGAGAGGCTCTTGTCACTGTGCAGACCTCAGAATGCTGTCTGTGGGTGATGGAAGGGAAAAACTGCCATAGATCTTCAGCTGGCACCACTGGAAGTCTGATCTACAGCCTCTCTTAACACTTTAAGGCTCCTTTAGATTGCAGTGTGATGTCTAAAGAGCTGTCTTGGAATACTGGGGTAAGGCAGGCCTGAAAGAGCTCCTGGTGGAGCAGGACAGTTCTACCAGAACAGCTAATTTAAAAACGCCTGAGTTGGGAGTATTTTGCTTTTGCCATGCAACGCTTAGGACAGACGTAAATGCGACCCAAGATGCTGTGTCTGTGACGAACTGGGCTCTCTTTGTACATCAAAAAAGGAGTCATCTTCACTAATCCTGCTAGTTTTGGTGCTCTTCACGAGTGCATCAAGGCAAGGCTAAATGTTCACTCTTGCTTTTGTATCTGTTGATTGTACCCATGTAAATACTGCGGCTGTGTGTGTATGTTTCTCTTAGGAGCCAACCTAGTGCCAGAGGTAGCATGTACCTATACGAAGAATACCGTGTGTGGCTGTCTGCCTGGGTATTTCTGCAGTTATTTGGGGACTGAAGACTGTGAACTTTGTCAGCGCTACACTGTCTGCTTTCCTGGCAGTATGGTAAAAGAAAGGGGTAAGCCAACATAGGATCAGTAACACCGAAAGCAAAAGCTTCTTACGGGGAATGCCTTTGGAGTTTGATTTTGAGGAGGCTGGCTGTCAGTTCATCCAGAAAAAAAATTAGTGAAGGACCAGCGTGAATGGATAGGGCCAGCGCATGCGAGGTATGATGTATACTGGTCCATTGTACTCTCTGTAATTGTCAGAGCAGCAGTGCACAGCTGAAAGCTTGCAGGATCCATGTAAGTCCTAGATGCTGACGTAGCTGATGTGGCCAAGAATGCTTTTTTTCTGTGTGCAAAGACAGAAGTGTGTGAGCTTTTGTCTGCAGTGAAGAGTCTCTGCAGTAATCACTTGGTCATTTACAAAGATCATGCTGAACTGAAGCTCTCCTTAGCCATAGGTGCAGATAGAAATCCTATTGTCTTCTCCTTTACAGGCACAAAGACCACTGACAATGTGTGTGAAGCCTGTCCTCCTGGAACCTCCTCAACAGCCAACATGTCTTACAGTTGTACACCATGGCCCACGTAAGCAGCTCTTACTCTTTATGGGCACAGGACTATTCTCTAACTGTTGGGTTTGCATTTTGCTGTCTTCGAAACAGCAGTTTCCTGCTTCCAGTAAGGCACCGAGTGTGGAAGCCTGTTCCTATGTCCCATTCTTTCTTGGGAACAGCTTCACTTCTCTCTTTATAAACTCATTATCATGGCAGATTTAGCCTTCAGCCTCTTGTCCTAACATGTCACAGGAGACTCTCAGACAGCTCTAACAGAGCTGGATCTGGACCCATGAAGAGCAGTGCACTCCTCTGGGTACCTGGGTTTCGGCTGGCACATCCCTTAGCTATAGTAGAACAGATGAGAGTTTGCTTCTGGGGAGAATCAGTTTGCATCTACAAGCATTAAAACAAAGAGGTAAAAGTCAGCTCCTTCCTGGATTACCCACCAAGTCAGAAAGACCTTTGTGAATGCCCCTGGATGTGGAGGTGCGATGTTAAAAACAGTACAGCAGTTCCACTGCAAGGTCTGCCAACAGATTCTAAGAACACAATTATTTCTTTCTCACATCAGAGTTAAGGAGAATGGCCGGGTACAAGGAGACGACAGGAACACTTCCTTAGATCCCTCTGTTACAGCAGTTGTTGGTTCTGTTGTTGGAATCGTGCTAGTTGTTGCAGCTGCCCTTACATATATCTGGCAAAGGAGGAAAAGGAAAAATTACGTGCCACGTAAGTACGAATAGTGTGTGTATAAAGGGGTAGTTTTGTAATAGCATTCTGAAGAATGGTCTTCATTTCACTGAGCTGAAACCTTAGCAGCCAGTTAGAGGTGAACTGTAAGGAAATTTCTACATTCCTGTGTGCCACAGTTAACCTGTTGTAATGATGCTTCCCTTAGGGGGTGTGCCTATGCAGGCTCACTGCTGAACCACTCCTACATACATGTAAGAACAAGATAACATGATTAGAAAAATGCATTACTATAAAGTTCACCTTACTGCATTCTGATGGGACTGTTTCCTTTTCTTTGCAGCGGTGCAGGAATCAGGGGTGAGTCTCTCTCTCTTTTCTTTCCTTTTTTTTTTTTTTTTTTTGGTAATACATTGAAATCTGACGTAGGTTTTTTGTTTAGTGTTTGTATGTGCCATATGTTTGATGGGCTCAGTGCATACTGGAGCAGCTTGTGGACACTGGGAGTGTCTGTGAGCTCCAGAATCCCCAAGGCTATGCAGTAGAAATGCATTTTATATGGTTCTCATTAGGAGGCTTGGGATCTAGTCCCATTGCCATTGTTATCTCCTGACATGGTCCAAGAATGAGTATTTAAGGGGATTTAGGAGATGGACTGCTACTAAAAAATACAACTGTGTTTGTTTATCTCTCCATCCTACAGTATTACCTATCCCCTAAAAGGTCCTGTTAGTGATTTGCAAGATCTGATATCTGTGCAGACAGGGATGTGTTTCATAGGAAAAACACTGAATGGACTGTGTAATTGCACTTCTGATTTGAGGGGGCCTGCAGTGACTCTTGCTCTTAAGGAAGATGCAAAAGTCTAGCTGTTAGTAGTGAGAATAGCAAGCATTTGCTAATAAAAGCTGACTCTTCATACTCTGTGTTTTCCTTTGACATGTATTAAAGACTGGACAGCAGGGTCAGGCTTTGATATTAATCATGGAGAGTGGGAATCAAACAACTGTTCCTGTGCAGGAAACCACTGCCGACCCTGAAGAAACCGAGCCTGAATAGCCATTTTTGTTTGAACTATTGTAGCCAATGAAGTTGGCTTTAAAAAAAACCCAGAAAACCAACCACAACCGCCCCTCCCCCGAAACCCAAAACACATCGACAAAAAAATCTCAACCTTTCTTCCACATATTCATGGAGAAAAAAGACAGCTTGAAAATGAAAAGGAGGATCTGCAAAGGAGCTCAGGAAATAGCCAAGTGGCATCTTCTGAGGCATCAAAGTTTGAAATAGCTGAATGATCGAGGTATTGGTCAGTATCGTCAGAGGTTGTAAAGCTCTTTCCTTGCTTTATGGAGCAGCGGCCTGTGTGGTACGCCTGGAATTTCTTTCTTAACTTACTTACCAACTTGGACAGTTATCACTTGATATGCATGTCATTATTCCAAGATAAGTTTGTTGGTGGAAAAAAATTGCTCTTTTTCATGTTAAAGATTCCACATAAGTAATATATAACACGTTTTCCAAATGCATTTTGTACAAGTTTTTCCTTTTTGGAAATGAAGAAAATACTGATGGGAAAAGGAATCTTGCACAGCAAGAAACATTTAGCTTTTAGTAATGTTGTGAATGACATATACACAACTACTCTCTTTTGCTAGTCACATCTGCTCTAATCTGCAGTCATGTGTTACAACAAAGAAAGCTAAGGTCCTACGTGAACATTATGTCTAGAAATAAAGTTCTTACTAACGAAACCACATTCTCTCTGTAAAAGAACTTTCCTGTTACCTGAAGAAGGGAAAACACCAAGTTGCTTGGCTGTTGGCATTATCTTGAAGAAAAGCATTATTCTTAAAGAGCATCATGGTGACCATAGATTTCTGAAGAAGGATTTGGTGAGGATGGTAATGCTTAATTTATCAGCTGAGCCTCAGGTGAAGAATTGTATATAAAATGAGATGGGGAAGAAGATGGAGAGAGGCATGGAGGAGGCACACGATGAGTGCAGTGGGACACCTGGGAGGAGGCTCTGGGGCTGATGGAATGAACAGATACTGAGATGTACTGTGAAAGCATCAGGGTGAAAGCATCAGAAGCCTGTTTTGCACAGGCTGCAGAAGGAACTGGTAGTGGAAACGGAGAGAGGCCGACATGGCAGGTGTCTTTGCATTTCTATTTCGAATGACTCTAAGGAAAAGCAGAGTAGAAGGGAGAAGGGAGAAGAGCTTGCAGTAGTTGACAGAGGTTGCCTGTGTTTTTGCTGCACTAATGCAGTCCCTCTGAATTCATGTTCACCCAGGCCACGGATCTAGAGACCATGGCTCTTTGACCAATGAACTTGCATACCTCTTCCCCACATGACTATGAGGAATAGAAGAAAATGGGAAATGGTTGTCTTTTTGCTTAGGGAAAATGTGATAGACAACTTCTTCATATTTTTTATAAAACTCTGTTAGTTTGTTCAGCAGAATTAGTTCTGTATTTTTTTGCAAAATAAGGTGACATTGCAGAAACTCAACATTATGTTTTAGAAGAATGGCTACAGGTAGCTGTACAAAAGTACAGCTCTATTGTAAAATCAAGCTGCAAGCGACGGAAAGTTAAAGCTTTTAGAGAATGCTTTAAAATTCCTTTTAAAATTTTTGCTGTATACATGCAGATCTGTCCATGAAGAAATAACCTTCTGTTCAAGTTCTAAAAATTGTTGTTGTGATTTTTAAAATGTTTTTTTAAAAGTCCCAATAAAAGTCATGTTTATGAAAACCTTCACATTGCAGTAATCACGGAAGGGCAAACTGTCTACAATTTCTTTTACTTCTAGCTGTCTTTATATAAAAAAGGATGCCCATAGTATTTACAATCCCAATGTCAAAGCTTGAAAGCATCTTAAAGTAAAAGAGATACAGACTTCATTGATTCTTGTGTGTCTGCTGAGAGTCACACAAAAAGAACTTAACAAGCCCTGACTTTATTGCATTTTTAGAATCAGTTTTATTTTCAGTGGTCAAATATGTGACAAGTCAGTAAGGCAGTTCTAACATCATTCTGAAAATATCACTGGCACCCAGCAAATACATTACTATTTTTTGAGTTTGCCAGTTTTGTGGCTGGTCTGATATGACTTGCTGAATACGTTACCAGGAACAGTAAAGATATTCACTGGGCAAACGCAACTTTTTTTTTTTTTTCCCCTGACCTTTTTTCTCTAGATTAGTTCTTTGGTAGCTGGTTAATGTTTCCTCGGGTTGGATCTTTTCCAACATTTGCCTGACTGTAGAATTTGCTAATTGTTAACCTCTGCTTGTTCCTCTACAATACTTGCGTGTGAAGGGTTACTTCCACTGTTTGGTAAAAAGCTTTCTTGAGCAAACTTTAAAGGTAAACCCAAAGCCTCAAAGAGAGTTTAGGGAACAGTGACAAGGAAACTTCAGCCTTCTCTGTGCTAGATGCCAATCTTGGGGTAAGTTCTGTCTTTTTCTTATCTTCTAGCTACTTAAGCTTACTGTTGAAAGCCTACTTTGACAGGGGTAGCATCCTGCTTTTGCATCTGCACTAGTGATACGTGTGGCTTTGAACAGTCTTCAAATCTTGCAACTATGCAACTCTCGCTATGCTTTCAGCTTACTCGGTACCTTGCTGGCTGACATGTACATTGTTTTCTTCCAGAAATGCAAATTGTGCAATTCATTTACCTGGCAGTAACATTTCTGACAGGGTGCCTGGCTTTTTGGTGGCCATAGAGCTTGCTCTTAATATGGTGGTAATCAAATTTTGAAGATTTGATTGCTGTTCGTCTCTGCATAATCTGTTAAGTCTCACCTTGGGTTAATGAGAGTCTGTAAAGCATTTGTAAACCTCAGTGGACGGGTGCTAGACATGCGTAAACCTTTTCTAGGTGCTGCAATGTGCTGACAGGCTGCTGCTGGACCATGGGCTGAGTACCTTACAGTCTGTGTGATCTTTAAATTATTATATTGGCATACTCTGGATCATAAGTTATTCACTATTACTTTTTTACTGAGATGAACTTTTAATTAAACAGCTGTGAAAGCAGATGAAGATCTTAAGAAGGGAGAGGAGTTAAATATTACTGTTGTTCAGTGTTGTCGTTTGGAGGAGGGATTTATTGTAGTGTTTAGGCACCAGTTGCTCCAAAGATGTTTTTGCAAAGAAATATCTGTCCTCCAGCCCCATAATTATTAGATGATCAGAGAAGCTAGAGATGCGTATCTAAAACAGCACAGAAACTTTGCTGTTGCATTACTCCTGAGACTAGAGAGGGAAGACTTGTAGGAAGAGGTAACCTATGGGGCCAACACCACAAAGAGCATTTCAGCTTGTATTTGCTGTGGACTTGAGAAACCACGTTTGTCCTGCTGACCACTGGAAAGACCCTTTAAAAGATACTGTCAGGCAGTTGGGCCTGGGTAGGAACTCTTGGTTTCTGTGACTTCAGTTGCAGTTGGTAGAAGACGCTCTAGATAAGCTGGGAGCTTTGCACAGTCAGGTAAAGAGACGGCATGCAGCATCAGACTAGGATCAGCGATCTACCAACTAAAAAAAAAAATTTGGGGGGGGGTCCCTGCCATAGCAGTAGTGTGTTTAATGTCTACAGCAAGTGTGTGTTTGATGGAGTCTGGAAAAAACTTGCTGATGTTTAGATATGTCTTTTGGTTTGTTTTAGGAGTTGGAGCCTGATTTGTCACCAGGTGGCAGCATGGGAAAAGGAAAGACTTCATGTTCCTCTCATTCTGGAAAACATCGGAATCTCTTCTTTTCCTAAGTATGTAACAAAGCTGCTCTGATGCTTAATTGCCTACGAGTTTAAAATGGAATCAGATCTGCAGCAAAACACCTCTGGGTACAGAATTTTCCAGTAAGCTAAAGTATTTTCTGCAGGATCTGCCAATTTCTGTCCAGTTACATGGATTTGTCCATTATCTTAGTTATTGATTAAGGTGCTCTGTTGTGGTTGGGGGTGAAGGGTGTTAGAGGGGGCTAAAATGGAGGCTGTTCATCAGAGTCTCTGACTGAGACATATAAACATACATTATACGTAACTTAGCCTGGAAGCAATTGTAAATGACAAAAGAAGTACTCTCTGTGTGTCAGTCTTGTTGTCTGACAGATTGTGTTGGTTTGGGTAAGGCAGTATGTGTGTGAAGAGTATTTCATGTCTGAAAGCTCTGCAGATTATCAATATGCATCTTGTTCCTTCCTGGAGCGCATAAGCCCTGTTTCAGTAGTTAAAGCTCTGGATTATTGGAAATTCCTTTAGAAAATATTACAGACCTTGTCTGGGGACAAACGGTTTCGTTCTTACCTAATGCTAAATACATTGTTTACTTGTGCAGGTGGAGAAAAAGACCGTCTTGTACAAGGCTCCCCAGGTGACTCTGTTCCTTTGAAAATAACTGGAAAGTCATCGCAGCTGCTGAAGAAAGCATGAAACCTCAGGTAGGGGCAGGTGTTGCGTGTAGCTGAAATTGCTGTCCTGAGTTGAAATGGGGAAACCAGCTGTAGCTTGAAACTTTACCTGATCATGGGATAAATGATAATCAGTATCTTACAAGCACAGCGAACAGTCCCTCTACTACCAACACTGGCTCTCAGACATAGAATGCTTGTAAAGCTGTGTTCTGTCACTACCACTGGTGTTCACAAACTGAGCATGTAGCTGCTGCCACCAGCAACATGCAACGTAATGGTCAGATGCCAGACAGTCCAGTGGAACGGCTGGACAGTAGGATGGTTGGTTGTACCACACGATACTAACAAGCTGTGCCGGAAAATTTTACTTGACAGACTGAAGGTTTTCGAAGCTCAGTCTGGTCAGGACCTGGATCTTCCCGGAAACATATTACCATCTCTGCTCTGAACTTTGAATTGGCAGTTGCCTTAAACTTAGATGGAGGGGAAGCTTACAGATGGCACAGGTGTGCACTAAGTGTGCAGTAACAGACTCTGCTTAACAAGCCACAATCTTAATTTGAACGTCCTCTGCATTTATCTCTTTGTGGATGTTCACTCACTGATACGTTAAGGTCAGTGAAACTCTGCTGCCGCCCCTGTCCTCAACTTGAGTTGTTTCTCACTTGCAGTAGCACATCTCCTCCTCTTCTGTGACCCTTGTGCATACCATTATGGAACAGGAACGTAGTGGTCAATAGGGAATGCCATTCCCTAATTGTTTTGAGCCTCTCTCTCATCTCTATTCTTGTTTCATCAATGTCATTGGTAGCTAGTGTGATGTAGGGGGCTGTAACTGGGGAGGGGAGGTGTGAATGCAGCAGGGGTAGAAAAGAAGGATGTGTGGGGGACTGTAAAGGGAGGTTGTAGTTTATGCACTTGGGTTGTGCTGGCACGGACACAAAGTGACAGATGGAAAGAGTCTTCTGCAGGTGGGAGGCATAATAAACTTACATGAAAAAATAAAGTAACTTCCATGTGCTGTAATAATAACTTGGAATAAAACCTCCCAGGCACATTTTAATTATCCCTTCAGCAGTTGCATGTGCCAGAATTTCTAATGGCACATCTCCAGAGCTTAATGATTTTGCAGAGTAATTAAATTGTCAGCCACGTGAACCTCCTCCACCTGACCTCTGCACGGTTGCATGCTGTTTCCCTTGCTTGGCATATATATATATATATATATATATATATATATATATACTGTTGTCACTTCCCTGAGTTCCCTCACGGTAGGCAGTGACTGCCTGGCAATCTAGTATCAGACAGTTTCATAGTCCCTCTGCTAAGACTTAAGTGAACAAATATAAAAGAATGCAATTCATAAGGCCAAAATATGAATATGGTAACAAAGAACAATGACTTGTACATTTAGAGAAGGATTATATGCAAATCTGACTAGCCCTAGGACCATTTCTGTTATCTGTAGAGTACATGCAAAGTTAATATTACTGTAATATTTGTAGTATACTTGTAGCTGTTGTAGTCCAATTGAGACAGTTAATAGCACTGTATTACTGGTCACAACTTGGGCTGACTCTTCTTCTGTAATCTCATGCTTTTGTTCTTGTGCATAACTCTCTGACCTGTCTCGTGAGCAAGGGACCTTTCCAGCATGTTGGGAACGTACTGGGCTATGGCACCCTGCTCCCCCACCACAATTACTTCTGTATTTCTTACAGTGCAATGAAGAGGCCTACATCTGACAACAAAAAAACAGGAGCATGAAATATCTAAGCAAAAATGAAGCTGGCAAAGACTGTCTTTGTTCTGTTACTCTATTTGCGGTAAACTTGCCTTTTTGCATTCATAGTCTTGTATGATAGCTGGACCACTGTAAGTATGAATGAGTGTTATATGTAAAAGATACTATGCCAGATTCTATCCTTGAATTTGTGATATTGTTCATATTGGCAATCAATAGTTTGTGTTATTTCTTTTTTTGCCCTTCATATGTTGTCTCTTGGATTTTACATTAAAAAGTTCCTCCTCAAATTTGCTTCTTTTTGCTGATATTCTGCTGCTAAAAGAAGCAGGCTACCTAATTTTTCTGTTCCTAAAGAAGAATTCCAGTTGTAGTTTAACCTGAGGTACTGTTACTGGCGACTTAATAGACAAGTTAAACTATTGAACAGCGTAGTATTTAAAATGTCACCCTCTTCTTAACAACCCTAGAACAAAAACATTTCCACAATGGCAGGCAAACTACCTGAACTTGTTACGAAATCTGTGATTGCCAGGCTAATCTAGACGTAACTGTTAGGATGGATCTCTGAGCAGAAGCTGCAAAAGGACTTGTATGGTCGCAGCAGAGCAGGACTCCCCTGAGGAGTCCTAGGATAACTCCTTTTTCTCAGAACAAGCTGAGAACATAGGTGTCTATTACTGTGATATGTAGGAGGCAAATACTAAAGGCACCTCAGGCCAGGACACTTCTCTTGGAGAGTCCGTGGCACTGTAAACGCTTGGCTTCTAAAGGCATGTGAAGACAGAGGAAAGAAACGTACTTTGGCCCACTTAGCTTACTGGAAGTGTCACATGAAAATACCAGCTACACAAGGGAAGCAGTTTTTATTACCTGACTATGAATTTAGCTTTACTGTATGCATGCAATCTGGCATGGAAAATCTGAGTAAGTGAAGATGGACAAAACGCAGTTAAATACAGTTTATTTTGCCTGCCACCATACACAAATAATTAAATAACAAAAGCTGATTTATCAGAGCACTTGACTGTCTTGTAACCAGTCATTTAATGTTAAACCAAATTAAAATCCTTCCAATAGGAAACAGTAGTCAAATGGTGAACATCAGTTTTAAATGTGATGAGAAAGGTGAACCTCACTTAATGGCCAGAACAAAGCTTGGACAGCATTTCGTACTAAGGAAGGTTGTAGATCATGTCAATTTTTATTGATAAAGTGCAATTTAGAAGAATAAAGTCCCTAGCCTATTACATGTATAATCCAATCCAGGAGCAAATACAAACCTAGTCTGCATGACAGTCAGTTTTAACACGGCATGGGACATGAGCATTTGGTTAATTCAGGAGCAAAAACTCTTTTAAAGTGAATAAAAACCAGAATAGAACATAATTAGACTTGTCTTCAACATCCAGTTGCAAACATCTTACAGCACTGCTGTTATGTAGAACTTAGGCTTCATAATTCTCACCAGATCGCGGATATATTGGCCTCTTACTTCTCTAATGATGGTAGGCAGAAAATAATATAATTGGCATGAAGCCTTTTAAGGACATCAGAATCTCACCAATCTGCTGCTGCATCTGTAATCTCACTACACGGTTCTAGTCCTGGATGGAGCTGAAAGCTCATGGTTAGTCATAGTTTGAGTTGAACCTTGATTAATGTCTAAATTAGTTACTGTCCATCTCTGTTTTACAGTCTGTGTTATCTCCTAACTAGCTTTAACTTGTATCCACTTTGTTAATCTTTGAGTCACATGGATGATTTACTGTGATATTATATGAAATTGCTTCTGTTGTGTTTTAGTAGCATTACTAAGTCTGACTTCAAAAGGTTCTGGTGTTCAGTATCAGAGAGAACTGGAACTTACCAAAACGGACAAGCATTAAGTGTAGCAAAACTACTGTGAATTTGTGTGTTTTGTATTCTAAACTAATCCAGCTCTGAGGTAAAGTACCAGGAACACACAGTACCTTATCTGACTATCTAACAGGAAATAAACATCTCATTATGTGTCTCAGTACAACCAAAAGTTTTAATACCTGAAGCACTTTAAACTGTATGGAGGCATGAGCAGGACACAAATGTGTCAGGTTCTGTACCTCCAGGCTTCCTTTAAGAGCTTTTAAGTCACTTAAAGGGGAGCTTAATCCTAGCGTCAAATATTGGAACTTTTTTTTTTTAAAGGGCTCTCAGAGCTTGTTAGTGCACTCTCCTAGTCACCATTTTTTTGTTGTTTTTTTTAGTGTCGGTCAATCCTAAGGTTTTCAGGCACTTATATATGTGAATCCAACAATTCCCATCTGAAAAAAATAGCCTTTCCTGCCACTTAATCTGCTTTGAATTGGCATCTTTGTTAGAATTAATGTGGTCAAGTGCAGTTCTCCTCAGGTAACAGACATAGCTGAAATAAACACAAAACCAAAATGTAATTCACGTTGCATTCCCCTGAAGAGGTCTGTGTATATAGTCATGCGAGGTGCAGCATAGAAAAGAATTAGATGTGAAACACTTTTTGTATTACTGTTAACTGCGTTGAAAGCCAAATGCTATGCTTTGTGTAATATTTGTTTGCAATAGGCAACTGCTGGTGGGTGCTGAACAGTCTGTTCTTAGTCTTTTGAAGAGAGATTAAATAAATACACTTGTAACTAAACCCTCTTACTACTTATTCTCCCTTCTGTACTTAACTCTCAAACTTTGAAGGGCATAGAAGAGTGGTTAATCCCTGAGGTAGCACTGATTCTCTGACAAAGTTATCTTCCAAGATTACTCTTAAGATAGAAGTAAAGCGTAATTGAACTATATATTCTCAGCTACAGTAAAAGCGGCGATTTACCTGTAGACTGATTTCACTTTAGCAGGTAAAATTCTTGCAAAAATCGGGAGGGTTTCATTCAGTGATTTAGCCAGCTTTTACCTGGCTAAATGGCCAGAATAATTCAGTGGGTCATCTCTTAATGGCAAAGCTGCTTCTGTTAAGTGATTTTCATTTCCTTCCCTGTTGTTCAGATAATCAAAGCTTTTGCTAGCGGTGCATTAACAAAATCTTCTGTGAAGCAAATGAATAGTGTGATTTGGCATTTCGTAAGCTAAGCGCTAGTAGTTGCTATCTTACTTTCCAGTGATTTCTGTGCTAGAAAGAAAAGCATTTGCTGGAAGAGTATTTAAAATTCACTATTAAGTGTTGGCAGTTTAAAATATTATCCTTATATTAGAATGCTTACTGAGGAAAGCCACCCAAAACTCTCTATAGTAAAATGCTTGCTGAATTGGCTACCGTGATTTTTATTTTTATTTTTTTTAATTAAAAATTAATACTTGTTACATTTTTAAGTGTAAATACTGAAAAATAGCCTATGGCAAAATGAAAAGGCACAGGATTAAAAACAGCGTAATTGTTTCTATGGATACATGTTTGCTATTTGGCAAAAAGTATTTTATACACTTTCTACAAGAATAAGCATCATTTTAAATATATCTCTGAAGGGAGGGACCCTGTAATTTTAACCATAACAACAGAATTTATACTCCTAAAAATGTGATCTTTCTATCTAGTAATACCTCACTTTAAGGTCATGTTACAGTTGTTCTTTGGAGCAGAGGAACTCAAGTGCAGTAGGCGAGTGCAGCTTTCAATTCAGTTAGCAGCCGACAGGCATCTTAACATACAGCTCACTTTGTAACATATCAAGACAAATAGCAATCTCTTACAACAAAGCAGTAATCAAAGTGCAAGTATACAGACAGCACAAGAGTTTAAACTAGCTCTAACCTGAATTTGGGAAGAATGCACCAGAAACATGAACGCTGGAAAACAGTTCAGTGAGACATCTCAAACAGGTTTGCTGAGTGTCAGAAGGTGTAGTTGTAAGACATATTAAAATTATTGTTCCTTTCTGAAAAATAGATATATAGTTGTTTGTTGTTTGTTTTTTTTGTTTTTTTATTTATTTAAGAATTAGTCTTTGTAACCCTGATGCGGTATCTTAATAACAGTCAGGATGTCATTTGAAACAGTCATTTCTGTTCTGGAGCACACTGAGGCTTTCAGCACAGCCCATCAGTCACTGAGATACCTGTGTACTTCCCAGCGGAACTGCAAGAGCTCGAGTGCTGTAGTTTCCTTGATTCTCACTACAGTAGCTGCACCATTAGCCTTGGCTGTGACTGAATGGGAGAACAGCAGGCACATCATTGGCAAGAACTGTTTGTTGTGTCACCAGAGTATGCATCATTCTCACCCGTGTTCTTTTTGGTTACCACACTCTGCATTTCTCTGCAGGATGCATGGCTGTGCCTTTTTTACAGTGGAACACCTCTGAGAATGCTTCAAAGTTCTGCAAAGATCCCATCACCCTAAACAAAGAGAAGGAACTTATTTGTCTGGATACAGTGCATGGAGGTCGTTGCTCTGGAAAACAGAAAGCCACGTCCATAAGTGATTTAGAGTCTCCTAACTCAATTGCCGTCTCAGAATACAGGATACTTGATGCAAGAAAAATATAGCTAATACGACTAATGAAATGCTAGAACAAACAGTAGGTCTGGGTTTTGGTCCATTCTCTATAGGTTGGCAAATTCACTAGGCCAAGTAATGGAACGTACTCTTCAGCAGTGTCCTACAAGCTATGGGAGAAATTCTGAAAGTTAGTCTACATTTATCTTGTCTGTTAGAATATAGCTGCTAGCAATGAGCCACTCCTTCCTTTTGCGCTGCAATAGGTTGAACCAAGTAAGTTATCAATTAGTAAATCAGTTAGTAAAACCCACCTGTATTTCAGAGGGCTGTGAACATCTGTCTTTATTGACTGGCTAGCATACTCTGGTCTGTAGGAGCCACACCAAACCTAGACAAGGAGGATTAATAATCAGTGGGTCAGTATTACAGGGAATTCAGTTTGGGGACCTTCTCACTGTTTTTCAAAGTTTTCCCTAAAAGCCATCCCAATTTGTTACAATATAGTTGGAGTACATTTTATAGCGGAGGCAAAATAGATACAGTTATTTACTAATTAGTTTTTGTTTTACAGAGTTCTTGGATCAAGATCTGATGCTTTGGGATAGGTATATTAGCTCTTGATTTCACCCGTGTGTTCCTTCAAACAGATGAGCTGAAGTCCAAGAGTCTGAGGCACAACACTAAGTATTTTGGCCTACTGTCAAACATTTGACCTATTGTTAAATATTTGTTACTCTAAAGTGTACACATGTGGGAGTTTCTTAGCCAGGCTGAAGGGTGAAATTCAACTCGGCAAACTTATTGTTTCTGCATTGTAATAAAGTGATATAGAGGAAAATAAGTGGAATCTGTAGCGACATCTGTGATCTGAATATGTATTCCTATTTCAAGGCTGCTGGCTTTGTATTTCTCAGGGATTCAGTTTTCTCCAGCACTTGTTAAAAAATTGATGAAACCCTGTCTGTATCAAAAGCAAAAGGAGTTTTGTCATAAATGTTAGTGGAACCGATATTTACATGAAATTGCAAGCTCTTGAAGGTTGTTTTCCTCCATGAGTTGTTGTCTGACATGCCTTTTTGTTGGTAGATGCCCTCTTTCTCTGTATCCTCACTCCAGCAGGTTTCAGTAGTGCCCTCAGAAACGTTACTGAAAACTCTTTCCTCTAATCATTAACCCATCTTTTTCACGTGTCTCTTGAGGATCTTTTGATGAGTGCAGGCAATGGTGAATCACTGTCCAAGTGGAGCTTGGGACTGATTTTTCTCTCTAACCTTTAAGATAACCTAATTTATACTTCCGTTCTTACCTGGGCAAAGTTGAGGAAGAAAAGCTGTTTGTGGGACAGATTCAGTCCAGGCAACTTTGGCTCCTTCCCTTCCCGTTCCAGCCATTTTAAGTAGGCCTAGAAATGATCATAGATTGAATTCACAGAAGCAGCAGGATGGCCTATTCAGGCATGATGGGTATTATGAATGTTATTTTGGGGTGAGAGATTTTAGTCACAATGTATATGAACCCAACATGTCTTCCCTTCTATATTTGTGTAGTTTTTATCTTTCTAATACAAACAGTACAGCTAATTTTATGAAAAAGCTGTCATCGTAAGTACTCTGTTGACTTTTCTAGCAAAAAAACCTAACCACAAAGATAATTTGCATTCAGCTTCTTCGGTATGGTAATCTCTGAACTGAGAACTGTTATAAAACAGGAAAAAATACCAAACTCTAATATGGAAGTGGAGTTTTATAGTAGTAGTTATTGTTGGCCAGTTGACCTTCACTGCGAGAAGCTATGCCCGTTCTTCACAGAGTCACCTGGAGATCTACTCTGAATTTCTTCAGCAAGGTGGCACACACCGTTTTGGCGAAAGGTATGCCACATCGTGAGCTTTCACTGACTTTTTCTATAGGAATTTGTATCTGGAAATAAAGTGTTAAGTCTTCTCCACAGTTCTGTAGCGATGATTTTTATCTCTTCAGGTAACTGCTCATAAAATAGCAGATAATAACCTTGCTCAATGTTAAATCCATTACCTGTTATTGTTACACATTAATTGGCCAATTTTCTTTTTTTAGGTATATTGACATAATGGAGACAAGTTAATGTGTCCTCATGCTGGTTAATTTCAAACGTTCTATTACCTTATCCTGTTAGTTGCTGAGATAGTCCCAAAGCACACAAAATACAAAAGGTGGAGCTGAGGGTAAAAATACATTCAGCACCACAGAACACCAGAGGATTCTGTATGCAGGCAGTTTATGTCATACCATACTACTCTTCCCCATTTGTAATAGCTTTTAGAAGCAAGTACATATTCACTTTAATGAAGTAATTAATTTTAACGGTATCGCTCAGAGTCAGAATCATCAGTTTAGATTTCTGAAAATTCAGGATGGTCTTCTATAAACACCCTTAACTGTTGCCATATTCACAACACCAGAGATAAAGAGTTTTACCATGACATCTGTTAGGATTATTTGTAGAAAAGAACATTCCATGCTCACACCTGAGCTCCACATGGAAAGAGCTTTTGTGCCGATGACTACTGTGTCGCTATTCATAATGATGGTTTGTAAGCCTGGAGGGTTAAAGATACTGGACTTCCCTGAGTCTGGAAGCTGACTTCCTCTGGTAGAGCAGGAGAAATAAGGTGATATGCAGTAGTGTTTATAACAGGTAAAACCATGCCGGACAAAATAGTTTTTCAATCACAGCATGGAGGTAGTCCTCTGAAATATCAGTTGCATTTCTCTTGTTTTGAAAATAACTGACTGGTTGAAGCAACCTTTTACCTTGGAAAGCAGCAGGCAGTTCTGAGATTATCAATCCTTGCATTTTTATTCTGCTTTCTAGCTGCGTGGAAAATAAATAGCAGCACGGTAGAAGGGACTTCATTGTGTTATTTTCCTAAAGCTTATAAAACACATAAAGAAAGCAACAAAAGGAGCTAGGCTTTTGAAGGCAGGTATTTTGGTAGATATCATCTGTGTCCCTCTTGGGAAAGAGATGGTATTTCCATCTATTCTTTTCATGTCCTACCTGATGTGTCACTTTTGAGATCAAAGATGAAAAGCATGAGAGAAATCAACTTGGAAAAAACAGTCGCTCTGCTTCGTAATATCACCAGACTGTGTGGCCAAGAAATTAGTGCTCTCTTGCCATGTGACAAGCTGTTTGAAGTTGTAGCTGCCATTTTCAGAATTAAGGGCTTTAGAAAACGGAGGGTGTTTTACCTTTTCCCTAGCTAATACTGTGCCTGTTTAGGAACACTGCCCTTGTTTACCTGAGACAGAAGTATGCAGCATCAAGCATTTTAGTACATCAAAGTATAGCTAGGAGAATTAGGTGGTCTTCTGCTGGGTGCAAGAATGCCAGCAATCCTACACTGTGATTGGATCTGTGGGGACATAAACTTCTAGACATATAATTGAGGCTTTTAAGTTTTTTAATATGGTACTTTACATGTTAATTGTCAATTTTTTTATGTCAGAATAAGTAACGCCATTGCTGAATCCCAAGGGTAAAGTTAACTCACAGTATATTTGAAAGTTACCTTATAAGCCTGTCGGACTCCTCCATTATCTGCAATATTTTCTCCTAATGTGCTTATTCCACTGACCTGTTAAAGAATAATCATTAATTTACTCTACAGTCAGTAACATTAGCAACCCTAAGAACCACAAGCTGAAGCAGTCATACATCACAGATAGACAGTCGTGTCTGGAAAAGAAAGAAGCAGTGACTTTGTGCTAGGGCAAAGAAAGGAGAGAATGAAAATAAAAAATTAATAGGGTAAAAGCTGTAGATTAGAATAGTGAAAATATATACAAATATAACATGAACAGAGTATGGGCTACTGGGCAGAACATACGCTAGCAGGACCGGCAAAATACAGTAGCAAACACCAGATTCCCTCCCCCCCTTGCAAAAACACCTCAAAGGGTCTGACAGAAAAAGCACACATGGGCCCATTTCACCATTAACCCAATTGCACATGGCTATTGCTGGTTTTCTAGGCTACACTGGTATCCCCAATTTACAAGAAACAACCCTTGTATATTATTTCCAGAACAACTAGCCTGTAGCGTGTGGGGTTTTATGCTTATCGTCTGTAGAGATTCTCCATTTACATTATTTTTCTGTCTAAAAAACGAGTGGTGTGAAAATGGTTGGTTTTACTTACATTTTGTCCTCCAGCAAGCTCCCATGTGTAGTTCCCATACTGATAAACCATGCAACGAGACTGCTCCCTGAAATGCATAGCTGAGAAATTGCTCCACCAGTCAAACATATTTCCATCTTTATCAAAATTCCTACCTGTACGAAAGTCCAAGAAAAGAGGAAAGTTTTGAGTGAGAGTATGTTAGAGCAACCATTCTTCCAGTATGTTAGAGCTGCACTTCCTCCCCTCTTTCCTCCTTTGATTTAGACGGTCTGTGCTACAGAGATTTATCAGAAATGTTTTTGGCACAGTCGATTCTGCTTTGGCGCAAGGGAATGGACAAGATCAATTGCGGTCCTTTCATCTCTATTCTCCATTATTCTGTGATTTCCCGTTCAGTCAGCAGCCCCAACTTCAGTTACAGCACTAAGGCCTAATTTTATTTCAAATTGGATTATGCAGACATCACGTAACAAAACTTTCCACCACCTTTGAGGTGCCTAAGGTGCTTATTCTGTATGTCCATGTGGCAGAACTGAGGCTCATAAAGAATTAATTACTTTGCCACAGCAGGAGAAAGCTGGAATTGCAGTTCTGGTGTTTGTGTTCTCAGCTCTCTGGCTAGAGCTGCTTTTTCTTCACTATAGGTCTAGATTTCTGAGGCTATATTGTATGCTTATGTGTAATCTGCACGAGCTTTCTTAACATAAAAAAAACACACTGAAGAAAATCCATGTATAAGAAATTACTGGCTTACAGTATCAGATGTGAGTTTTTGCCCAAAACTATTTTACATAGCATTCTAGAAAGATAATAAAGTCAATTTATTTCAAACATTCATGTTGAAAAAAAAAGCCTCCTGTGATTTCAAGACAGTCCTGACAGCTCTTCTATCCCAAGAATGTAGTTCACAGATTTCAATTTACTTTAGGAGCCAGTATAGCTGCTTGCATTGTATTTCCGATCTGATGATGCTGTAAAAGTAACAGCTTTTACTGAGAATTGTCATTGACTCAATTTATTTTTAACATCTGCTTACTTCTTGTGTGACCTGCTTAGTTTATGAAACATTTACTGCAAAATGTTCAACAGAATGTTAATAGCGTGCTTGTATCGCTCCCAGTAGCGGGTATGTGATTGTGTGTGCATGGATAGTTCAGTCACAGCAGTGTGTAACTTTGATTTCTTATGGTGTAATGAGTGCAATTGAAAGAATACTATTTTCTCAGTTATCTTCTCACCATTGTCATCAAAACCATGAGTAATTTCATGCCCAATAACCATCCCGATCCCTCCAAAGTTCAGGGCTTGTGGTTGGTGTTTGCTGAAGAAGGGGGGCTGTAGAATCCCAGCAGGAAAAACTGCAGAGGGGAAGAGAGAGGGAGATGCTGTAAGATGGCTTTATTTTTGCATACTTTGCAGACAGATTGTTTGCTTGGTTTAAGGATCAGGAAGGAACATAAAATGATTAGAAATAACATCATGCCTCCTCATGTGAGATTGTTTCTCTCAATAAATGGAAAATGACAAGTTAATGAAGGTTTAATTTAGCACATCTGCAACTACAATATCTCCTTGTTTGAGAACCAAGCATCATTTACATTTCAACTTTAGCCTAATTTGGTCCATAATGTATGCTGCAGTAAGTCAAGAACAAAATGTTTAGTTAACTGTCTTTTGGAGATAGGTACAGTTTATGTTTTAGAGCCATTTTATAGGGGAACTCATGGATGTTTTCTTGCTTTATTTTTGTTAAAGAAAGGTTAGCAATCATATGTTGATTACCAGCAATACTCAGTGTGTAAAACATGCACAGTAGTAATTGCTACAGGCCACCAAGTGCACTTGGATGTCAGTCGAGGGCAGGGGGTGGGTGGGGAGGTGTAGGAGGTCTAGCCTTCTCCAGTCTGCTGGCAAAAACCTCATATAGAATCAATGGGACTTAGTCTTCATCCCATCTACATAAGATGAAAAGCATATATGCTTCTAGAGGATTTAAGACTGCAAGCAACTCATTCTAATAAGATACTTTCTAAGAAGTGAGATACTGAAATTACATAGCAAATATTTCATTTCGAGACAAAAACCTTTTTGACTATATAGAAGGTTTTATCCATACAACTTTAGGGAGAAATATGTAAGACAGACTGCAGTAAGACAGAAGCAGGAAACTGAAAGCAGTATGGAAAATTATTTTCCTCAAACTAGAGACAGGGAGAAACAGGATTTAACCAACATCTACACTATTGCGGGTAGCTGTGCTTGGACTTTTGGCCTGCATATTCATCTTCAAGTTGCTTAAACCAGTTACTTCCTATTACTTACAAGGGCAAAGTTGTAGGGGAACCAGTCTTCTTTAAGACCCGAGTTCCCTGCCTGGAAAGCTGGCTCACAGCTGATTACTATCAGCATAAAAACCACTGTGGATGAACAGGGAGCCTGAGCTTGACTACAAGTATAGCTCCAAGATAGTATGTACTAGCAAGCTGAGGAACTACCCTGCTACGGCTGAAGGACTGGTCACAGCTTTTACTGTACCTATGACATGGAGGTAAGTGGAAGCTACACAAATGGAAAACAGCCCTTTTTGATGAGGCTAGAGGGCTAAGTTATTGGCGCTTTGGATGTTTCTGGTTTTAGCCATTATCTAAGTTTTCCCTTGTGACTGTTGGTTGGTTGGGTTGTTTTCCGTTTCTGGCCTTTGCCCTGTGAGCAGGATACAGCTGCTGTCTGGTCTAAAAAAGGCATGGATTTTTCCTCTTACGGTATTTGGCAGTACTTGGATGGCAGATCTTCCTGGCAGTCTGGGAATTTGAATAAGCACTACTTAGTAGAAATTATTTGGTTCCTCTCCTGTTTGGGGTGCTCAGAAGTCAGCAAAGACTGCATCTGCAGGCTTAACCTGAACTACTGGTCACCTGCAGCAGCTTGGAGATCGAGGAGCATGGGGAGCCAGACAGGTTCACTATGTTTTAAGTCTGAAGATCTTCTCTGCTAAGAACAAGAAAGGTCAGCCTAGCAACTCTGCAAAAACTTGCAGATCTGACGTGCTGTAAGCAGAGGCAGGTTTCTTCAGTCTGGTATTCCTCTTATCAACATAATTTCAGTACCATCTGTACAGATAACAAACTGGAGAGCTGCCCATATGTTTATCAGGGATGTGGAAACATGAGTACAAACAGCCCAGAATACACTGTGAGCATTCTCTGGTCTCTGAAGCTGGCACTCATATAGTAGCAGCTACTGTCTCAGGCCTTCAAACATAAGGCTGTTCCAATTACAGTATATAAGCTATGCCTGCCAAGTTGGGGGGGCAGAGTGGGGAAAGCTGAATAGTCATCAACAAAGCAACTGCTTGAAAAGAACAGCCTGTCTACCTTGCCCAGAATTTCCATAAGGGCACAGGCAGGTTTGCCTCTGGATAGCAGACGTGCACCCTTGTAGTGCAAAAAATGATTAATTATTTCCATGCAGCTGTTTAATACTGTTGTAAACCTACCTATCTGGTTCCGATTGGGGGAATAGAATGCATTGACCACTGCAGCTCCAATTATCCATCTAAAAATAAATGTTGCACACAAAGTTAGTAATGTTGTTTTATTTATTTTTTTAGACATTGTGTTTATTGAATTATTATTGTTAAAAAGGAAATTATTGAGGTAGGGAAGAAGGCTGCCATTGAACACAGCTGTAAATAAATACTAATACCAGGAAATAACTGGTGTCTCATTTATGGGTGTCTTTCATCCAAAACAATGCCAAGTGAAACTAAGAAATGCTTTTGCTCTTGAATGTTGAACAGCCACATTGGGGTGGAATGTGGTAAGTGTTTACCAGCTCATCTTAATCCTATCTGAGCTTGAGAAGAAACAATAGTTTACATTCAAAAGAAAACTAGCATTTAGAGGATGTTTTGAGCAGCAGAAGGCAGTTACTCAAATCGGAAGTTAGGACCCAACTTGTCTGTTGAAAAATCATATATCTGTCTGTGATTATTCAGTTTTAAATATCTGCATTTGGAGTCCAATATTTCATAGATGAGGAGTGTGAACTTTGGGAAGTAATTTTTGAGTAGACTACTTTTGGAAACTCCCTCCAATACCTTGATAACTTTTTATTCTTTGTATTTTTCTTTCTCTTCCCCTTCTCTTCTACATTGTGTGCTCTCCTTTTGAGTTAAAACCAGTTCACAGGAAGAGGGATAGAAAAAATGAATAGGCTTTGCAACAATTAACTTGACTCATGCTTCCCTCTGGAGAGTTTTTGTTTGCTTGCTTATTAATAACTCTGTGTCATTTTATGTTTTGTGAAGAGGTGTTTGAAATTCTTACTGGAATCTACTTTCCTTTGTCACAAGACATCTCTTCCAGCATCACGCAGGCTGGAAGCCTACTACTGAACAATGCATCCGGTTGGCATTAGCTTCCTTACTTCTGCCTCCCATTACAGTGGATCTGACAGTAATGTATTCAGCAGTAGCTTTGCCAGTTAGCTGCGTTGGAGGCATCTGTCTCAGGAAGCTAACTGGACTATTAAAAGTTCAGATCGGCTAACTCATAGTTCTGGAAATCAGGTCATATTCCAAGGCATTTGTTGCTGAACATGCAAGCTGGGGCTTCTGGGACATATCCATGCCATGGACTGGCCAGAACTCAACTGCACTTTGAAGGACTGGAGGGGTTGTCCTGGTGATGTTGTGTAGTGATGCTTCTTACTGGTTAGTGATGCCAGCTGCTCACCTTGGAGATGTTAGTTACAACTTATGAACATGTCACTCTTATTTGGTTGTTTTAAGACTAGCACTAGCTGAAGATTTGTCTTGAGAACGAAAAACTGTGAGGTAACAGCCAGGGCAATAGAGGTGAAGACCTGAGACTTACTCAGGATGCATTCATGGAATCAAAGAAGGGATCACGAACCAGCCAAATCTGCACCTATGACAGGAAGTTCCTGAAAAATACATTTATACTTTACTAGGTACAGTGTGCAGTAATTGGCTGGAAATAGACATAAATTAGATCTGGTGCTCAACTTCCCCAAGATTGGGCATATTGCCAACAGAATTCTGGCCATAATATTTTAAACTTTCTTCCCCTGAATATAAATTTTCAGAAGTTCCATGATACCATTTATCTCATCTCCTCCTTGCTGAGTTGTCAGAAAGATCTGTCACTGCTTTTGTGTGAAGTAGTTGCAATGTAACACCTGAATGTGAAGCAGCTTGATGAAGGATTAGAGAGTCCAACAGAACTGAATGAACTACCACAAGAGGCAATGAACTACTTGTTTAATTCCATGAAATAACTTATAAGATCTCAGACATAAGTATTCTTGGCTATCTACAGCATAGGACTGAAACACAATAACTATTATTTCAGAATTTAGACTGTGTCTGTAGCATGCAGTCTGGAAACTTACATATCTTGGTCAACTCTCTCTCGAAGTTTTTTCAAGCTCTTTTGGGCTCCCGCTCTCAGGTTTTCCAGAATGTTTTCAAAGTAGTTGTGTTCACTGAAGTTTAACTAAAGAAACAGATATCCAAGTGTGTTAGTGAGCTGTGCAGAAAGAATTCCCCATACCACTGAACGTATCTTCCAAAAAATGTTTTGATTGCAAGGTATCACTTAATAGTTAGCTCTTTGCATGCACTTATTTATTAAAATGTTCAACACAATCAATTTTGTATGCTGTCCAGTCACTTGGAAATGACAGTTGCACAGGTGTAAGTATTCCAAGTGGCAAGAAAATAAGTGCAGGCTTTTATATTGAGGTACTTATTGAGGTATGCACAGCATACTTACATTGGCATATTCCTGATCTAGTTTTTCATTCTGATCTTCCAAAATATAATCTGGATAGCCAATTTGTTCTTTAATTGCCAATGCCTAGAAGAAAAGAGTATAATGTTTCCTCTTAATTGTGTTTTTTGTTGGTGGGTTTTTTTAAGTTTCAAAACATATAATAGTTCAAATTCTTTATTGCTATTGTCCATCTGTTTGTGAGAAACTGGATGCAAATATTTAAAGACCTTGTTCAAATGCACCCTATTGCCTAGTGAGATTTTTTTTTTTTTTTTTAATGTGGAACATACAGTCTTTCTCTCATCTCCTCATGTCCAGCCACTATGGTAGACTCACAGATCCTACAGGACCATCTGACATGGATTGGGCTTAACCGTCTTTTAGTGCCTCTGGGGTTTTTTTTCCTTGCTATTAGAACAGTGCTGATGGTCCTAAAGTCAATGAAAAGTTTAAAAAGTTTTTTTGGGGGGATTGCATTGTGTTCGGTTGTCGTTCTAACTGATGCATTTCGTGCCATCTCCTCTCCTCATTTATAACATGGTTCAAAAGACTCTTTAAAGGAAATAAAAATGTATGTGAGCTAACAAAGGATTAAAAAGAAAAGGACAATGTAATAGGATAATGGATAACAGGATAGTGAACATCAAAGTTTTTTTTTTTTCCTCTCATTTGTAGAGGAACTGAGAATAGTGAGGCTACAAAATTCCAAAGATTTCATATTCATGACAGAATACTGAAGTTCCTTGTTATCTCTGACCTTCTCGCGAGCTTTCTCTTTAGATGCCTCATCCATCCACTGTAACTCATCTAAAGTCTCGATGAATGCTTCACGAATCTTATCTATTAAATCTCGGACCTAAAAGAGAGGCAGTAAGAAATTAATCATTTATATGCTATTTTTCCCAGGCACAGCTAAGGAGGGGTGAAAAGCTTCCTACTGAAAGATGATGTCCCCAGATTCTATGCTCTAAACTGTGGTACTCAGCTTTAAAAGAGCATCATAAATGAGTTCTTATGCCTTCTGACTCTTGAGTGATTGATGGTATCTTTAACAGACAAAATAGGTTGGGAGATCAGGTGGGAGGGGAACGGGCACTGTAGACATTGTGGATGTACAATAGTATGAAGGGTAAACTACATACCATCCTCTTGCTCTCACCAGCAAATGCCTCTCTGACATACATTGCTCCCACTGCGTTCTCCATGTTGTTGTTGACATAACTCACGCACTCCCTCCAGCGGGCTTCTTCCAGCGTTGTCCCATAAAGTGCCTGTAACACAAAACACCACAGGATTAATTCTGCCTACACATGGCTTTTCTAAATCTTTGCCTAAAGAGGAGGTTAACCTAAGACTAAGGTTTCCATTGTTGTGACTGCTGTTCTTAGATTTGTTTGGGGATTATGTGACATAATCATGTCGTTGTGTTGACAAGGACTTGATTTGGTGACTGTGGGACTCTTCCAGTACTATGCTCTATGGCCTTTTTAGGAAGGGAGGAAATACCTTCCTGTAGCTGGCCCGAGCATCCTTGAAACGTCGACTCAAGCTGCTGACTCGATCAATCACCAGTCGCCAAATGAGGTAGTTCTGGATAGTGCTGCGTGGGAAAGCAAAGCTGAGTTTAATCCCCTGATGAAAAAAAAAAACCCAACCACTAGTGCAGATAGTCAGAGGGAGATCTTAATTTTGAATGGAGATAAAGCAGATGATTGCTGCCAGTCATCAGTTTTATAGCATCTACAGGTAACTGGTCTTATTTAACAGGCTGGCTAACTGTAGAGGCATCCAGGCTGAGGACTGTACTACCATATCTGTTCAGGGATTAAGTGGGGTTTTTTGTTTGTTTGTTTTTTGCCTTCTAGAGTGTAACAAGAGCTAAGCCTATGATGTATTTTTCCTTCCCATTTAACCTTTTCTAAGCATGTGAGCAGGTGAGACACAGAGTACCACAGTAGTTTGGGACCCTGGGACCTTAGAAGACATTACCCATGTTTTACAGTGAAGTGGTGTCACTTTTCTCAGAGAAGCTCTGGCAGAACTAGCAAGTGGGCCTAATAATTTACATTTCCACAATACTTCCGTTACTTCTGTCTCGGATATTCTCCAGTTTCTTTACCTTGCTGAGTACTTTGAGATAATTGCTTTCAGCTCTTGCAAATAGGGCATGCCATACACAACAACCTCTTCTTCTGGGTCAACCTGAACACTTACTGAAGACATGACACCTTGGATGAAGAAGGTCCAGTTAAATTCCTAGGCAGACAGAAAGACAGATATCAATGTCAGGTGTCTTAGTAACTGTTTGGACTTTCTGCAGTCTGTGGGATTGAATGTAGCTGCAGTGATGTTCAGTAGAAAAATGCTTTTTAAGAGACTCTGAAGACAAGATTAAGAATGGGAATGACTTTATACCTCTCTTTGTTGCATCCCTGATCATTTCACGAAGCCATTTCCAATTGGCATGGTAATAAGAGGAGGCTGAAAGTATTAGACTGCTCATTAAGCACTTACGTTCAATGCAAACTTTTCCTGTAGCTCTTTTAAGGTCATTTTGTTGTACAACAAGGTTACATCATGCCTTTCTTCTGCTGGGGTAGTTGCCTGAAGACATTCACAAGGTTATTACTAGAATCAACTGACACAAGTGTCAATGGCTGAAATTGCATGCATGCACATATACACACTCGAATAATATGTGACTAAACCAGTTTATTTTGGAAAAGAAAGCTCAGATGATGGTGTCTGGTGCTGCTTTCTAAACTTCAGTACAGGAACTCAGGACCTCCTATTCAATAATGTTTCAGTAACATGTTGAGGCAAGCAGTTCCCTCTATCCTCTTTAGAATGGAAGACTAAGCTCTTAGAGATTTTTAGGGTACTGTGGACTTCTAAGGATGCAAGGGAGCTAGCCCTGGTGTTATCATAGTGTATGTTTAGCAGAAGATTATCCTTCTTTAGGAGACTTCCAAAAATAAATATGGCTAGGGCTAGAGCAGACACAGTAGCAGTGTATGCAGTAGACAATTATACACACAGAGGCTCTGATTTCTGGGCTGCTTACAGCACAAGAAGTCATCTTCCCCCTCCATTCTTTGAGGCTGTGGGTTTTCTGCTGTATTGAAAACTGCTGCACAAAACAGCAGGAGACTCTCCCTCTCACCCCTTGCCCCCGCAACACCCTGAGAAGTTCTTGATTTCTGTACTTACATTTGCAATCTCTGTTTCAAGCTCCATAACCTTTGCCATTTCCTCTTGGACAAAGGAATCGTCTTTAGACATGTTCTTGTCTTCCCGGATCATTTTGGCAATGGTGATCATGAACTGCAGGTAAGCTTCTCTCACCTGCACACAAGAAAGAGAACATGTGTGTGGCACTGTGAAGAAAAGGTTTGCTGTCTAGCATTTTGCATTCAGCAAACCATTCTTTTGTTATTTTAGCTTTACAGTGTGCTGTGAAAAAGTTGGGTCCAGGGGTCACAGCCTCTGCCCTTGTCTCCAGTGGAACCCTCCCCACTCCATTTTCTCATCTCTTTTTTTTCCTAGTATAATAGATACTACTGTAATACCTAGGACCTCAGTTCAACCTGAAATACCGTACAGTGCAGTTGCCAGTCTCAAAATACGTAGTGAAAGCAACACTTTCTGCTTCCCTGTGTAATCCAACTCTCTGGTGTTTTGAGTTAGAATTACTGCTTGAGCAGAAAGAAGCCTCTGTGTTTTGAGTTACACTATGGGAATAGTGATCCCTACTAGCCAAAATACCAGGGTAAACATGGAAGGTTTAAGTGCTCTGAAAGTAATACCATAAATCTTCTAAACTCTGTTTTTATTGTCTGAAAGAAAAGCTCCGTCTCAGATGGTTCCCAGTGATACCTTTGCTTTATTTCTAATAGGAGGGTATGGCTGTGATTTATGTCTCGGAATGGACCTTGAAAAGATACTTGGCTGCTGAGGGAGTACTGATCTCTCGTACAGGAAAGCTTAACACTACTTATTCTCCCTGCATACTTTTCTTCCTCCATAGACCTTGGAAACCAGATAAATACAGTAACTGTGAAATTGAGTCTGGGCACTTACATGATGATGATGGTTTGTGTTTTTAGGCTGAATGCTGAGGCCTTAATCAGGCCAGACTCCCACAGGCCTCAGCAGGAGTTTTGCCAAAAGATGCTGGACTAAGCACAGGGGGAGTTTGGGTCATCAGAGTCTGGGTCATTGTCTGTGGGAAGTGAGCTGTTAAATAGCAAATAAAAAGGGGTTGTGTCTCCTCATCATTCATTAAGATTAAAAACACAGCCTTAGCCCTTCTTCTTTATAGCTTCAAATTAAAACTGTATTTAAGCAGTACTGATTTGCTTTTGCTAATTTAGGATTGTCTGTGTATTGTACCTGATTTTCTACCTCCTACAAGTCAATCTAAGTCTGACTTTCATGCAACGATGCATAAATCTTTTCTACTGTAACTGCCACTCTATAGGTGAAACTTGTGGAATAGAATGCTAGTCCCAGTAGCTATCTGCAGTTCCCAACACAACTACGTGGAGATTGTTTTGTGTCATGAGACAGATAATAGAAGTTGGCAGTTGACGTAGGTGTCCAGAAGGTCTGGAAACAATCTCATAAAAACTTCACAGGACTATATTTTGGACTGTATTATAGATGAAAATATGGTCAAATACATAGCAGTAAGAAGAAAACTATTCTCACTGATGTTTTCATCTCCATTTACAACCACTAGACAAAAGAGTCTAAAATGCTGATTGTTGTCTCTCCGTATTCCCTTCCATTCATGTTAGGAAAATCAGTTTGACGTTAGGCTGCAAATACTCTTTGTTAGTATGACATAATTGAGGCAAATAAAATGTACTAGAGCAGTATTTTCATCTTGGGAAATGGATACATTATCTGCAACAGCTTTCTATGCATTTACAGAAACCCTCACATTTTTGCTCTGAGCATTGGCAGAGTAAAGCAGCTAGAAAATAATCTCTCACAGTTTTCAGGTAATTTGGGGGAAAGGGGGGAGTAAGTGGCAGCAGATTCTTACTAGCTGAGTATCTGTTCCATTAATACAGCTTTTGCTGCTCCACATAAAACACTTTTTATTTCTTAACTTCTTTCCTCTGAGTGAAAATGTGAAAAATTCTGAATGTTTTGGTGTTTAACAAAACGTATTTTGGTGTATTGTATGTTCAGATATGATCCAGTATGATAATTCTTCTCCCATATCTATAATCCATCTTTCCAGTACCTTGTGAAATAGTAGCCAGAACCAGTGGCTTTAGAAGAAGATATAAGCAAACCCAAGATAACCTGCCCTGAAAATGTGAACCTATCCTTCAAAATTGGAGACTGTTTTAAGCTATAAAACACAATGATTTTATTTTCCCATAACCTTCTCATCTGTATGAATTGGCCAGTTCGGGGGCGGGGCTTGATATTTATACAGTTGTTCAGACCTTTTGTAAACTTTACAAAATTTTGGCATAACTAGGAGAAAATGTAGCAATGATTGTTACAGTCTAATTCTGATTGTTGCATAACATGAAGATTCATATATTTGAGTTTTCCAAAACACAGGGATAAGTAATAAAGTTGTTTTAGTAGCACATATTAAATAAATTAAAAGGAATACTTACTTTTTGATAGTTGCCCCCATTAAAGTAGTAATCCCTGGATGGCATTCCTAAACTTGGCTGGTCAATCTGAAGGAAATCATACATTTCTTTAGTTAGTGATGAAAAGGAACTCGTGTTGTCCAAAGGTATCCTTGAAAGGCAACATGAACTGTGCTGCATGTGCCATCCAAAAGTACACTCTTACCAAATATCAGAGAACTTTAGCTTTCTAGGAACTGGGGTGAGGTGGAAGGTACAACTTTTGTCTCTGGATTTCTAGATAAGGACAGGATGGATACTTAGTGGGGATTATTAAGCAAAATCTTTCAGTAACCATTGAGATCTAAGAATAAATTCAAGCAACTTAGAAATGAAGTTGCTTGACTTGAGGGCTAGACTTTATGCTTAAACATACATGATCAATCTCTGAAATATTATTACATGTTTTAAAAACATGGTTTCCTGCTACCTATTAAACCTCACCATCATTTTGCAAGTCACAAGAATTTATAACCCTTAAATACTGTAAATCAGCAAAGGTCCATTGATTTTTATGTCTTTAACTGAAACAAAAATTATGTTACCATAAAATGTTTCCCAATATGACTTTGGGACAGACCTGCCACTTGGGGTGCAGAACTGTTGCATGCATTTTGCCCGTAGTGCGTGTACCCACTGACTTATGGAAAGCTCATCTGTAGGCAGTGTAAATAACTATCCATTATGATTCTGGCATATAAATAATTCCCTGCAATTTTTTTCTTACATAAATGATGTGTCTGCTGGAATCCCGGTCATCATTCCATACAAACATGTCAATGAGGACACGTTTGTTAAATCTGGAGTTCATTATGGAGAGTTTTTCTTCCATGCTCCAATTTGGCTCTAGGAGGTAAATGGGAAAATATACATCATTTATCAATATGTATCAGGACTGATTAAGTTGTATAGTTTGCAAGCTTATTGCTGAAATTGTATAGAACCAGACTGGACATGATGTGAGAATATTTGTACAGGACATTTCTATAGTGGCTAGAAATTGCTAGACTCTTCTTACGAGCCTTATCTGTCTCAGTGATATATATATAAAAATAATTTACTGATTACTTTGTATATATAATTGCCAATGCATAGTATAAATCACCATGACCTTGCCTACTTAGGCAGTTATACTCCAAACCCTAATTAATATGCAAGCATTAGAACACAGCTATATTGGTTACATTGCTTTTGTTTTCATTATTTATGTTGGTCCTTTAGGTTTCCTAACTGTCTTAAAATGTACACTGCTCACGAATGAGATCTTATAATATGGGTATTAAATTTATACTATCTTATTTAGACAGATCACTGCGTGCTAAATATGTATGATACCATGACTTTTGTTTGTGAAGAAAAAGTTAAAATGGAGGATCTAATTCAATGACAGAGTCTCCTTAGTGCAGTAAATAATTCTGACTTAACACTACTGAACTCCTTCAGGCACAGAATTACCTTTGGTCTTATTCCACTCTGCATAAGCCACTGGCCAATCTCCAACCATCGTTAAGGCCTCTAGCAGAGGCAATGAATCTCGTTGCTCTATAAGACCTGAGAGAGGAAAAACAAATACTATATTGTTTTTATAGGAAAAAAAAATGAAGAAAAATAGGTAATGGGCCTAACAGTTTAAATCTGAAACTGAATTTGTCATAGCAGAAAATGAGAGACCACTAAATCATCTGTCTCCTACATTAGTCTTCAGAAAAGTAATGAAAATACTTCTGTTGACTTCAGTACCAATTTTGACTGAATCGGTTTGGAAAGGATGAAATGGGATACGTTTTTGTATTCAGAAGGGAAGGCGTTGCATTGACAACAGAGGTAGGTAACCCACATCCATCCTTTCCACATCCCAGGATGTGTATATTGAGCCTTAATGATGTACCAAGGCATCTTCATTCATTTGAAGATTAGCTTTCCAGGCAAGGCCGTGTATATAAGATAGATATTAACTGGACTTTTGCTTAAAAGTACATTGGTACTTTTGTACATTTGGTATCGAGCAGGAGAATCAATCAATGGAACAAGAATAGACTCACTCTCATTCATGCATGACTTGTAAAGTATTTTAGCTTTCTGAAATGCTTCTCTGTCCCCTCGATCTGAAGTCTCCAGCACACCTGGGGAAGGAACCATTGCAGTGAGATTTTTGCCCTGGAGAGCTTTGATCTTTTCACAGAAATCACTGAGAATTCAGGGCTATGATAAACACTTGTTATTGTAGGCTTCAATTACTGTGAAACTAGAGTGCTCTTTAAAGGAGCTATTAATGGAAAAAGCATCAGGAAGAAGGACATGCATACAGCTTGTCCTGCTGCTTTTGAAGTTAATACCAAATCACCTATGGCTAATTTTTAGTGGGAACAGGATGTTCCCACAAAATGGGTGTAGTAAGAGATATAGAGATTAAAGGACTACAGGAAAAAAAAAATCACAATCAACACTTGTGGAAGTTTATTTCTCTGTATAATGTGCAGTTAATAACATCTGAAACTAAACACAAGTGCATAACCAAGGATAGAGTAGCCTCATTCCTACCTTTTAGGATGATCTCCAGCTCATCTCTCAGGATGTCAAAAATGCTGTATCTGGAGCTAGTTTCTGGGATAACATGCCGGTTCAGCCAGCCCCCACAGGCATACTGGTAGAAATCCTTGCACGGGTCAGCTGTTGGGTCCATATTCTGAATTATTCTAGCAGCTAGGTATCAAAATTGGAGAGTTGAATTCCACAGACTGCCTGGTAATCTCTGGGACTACCAAAGACCGTCAAGAAGCTGCTTGGCAAGAAGGCGCCTTGCTTATGCTGCTTATAGTGAAAAAGACTCATTCTCATGTATTATGACTCAAAGGATCCTATTTTCTGCTTAAAAATGCATGGAAGCATCTGACGGCAGACATTAGTATTGCAATTGTACTGCTTTACAGAGGGAGCCTCTGAATGGCAGAATAGTTCTCCCAGAGCACGATGCCTTACAGGCACGAGCATGCTGCCCAGTGCTCTACCTGGGGTCCTAGCTTAGGTACCTACCCATGAAGTCAGTGTTTCCAGGGTGCAATTGGGAACATCTGGGCTGGAGTCTTACTTCTCTTGAGGTGTACAAGTAGATGCCAAAAATAAGAAGGTGAATAGCCCCATGTGTAGAATACATTCTCTTTGAGAGAAAATTCAGTCTAAGGGGATTCTTATTATACTTCATAGATACAGACTGCGTTGGTCAATCCACATCCTTGTGGCTCAGGCCAGAGCCAGAGAACTGTTGCCCACACTGGGAATTTTCCTGTACTACTTCCTTATGAATGATACTCCTGGTGACAAAGAAAGTATACAATGCAGAAGTAAGAATAGGGTTTTTTGCTCAGTTTTTACACATGGAACTGTATTTGAGGACAGCTGTACTTGCTGCCTTTGACAGTGTTAGCAATGTGTATCTAGCCAAAGGGGAAATTTCATTCCTTTTCAACTTCTTCAGTCTTAAAGCCTGAACTATTGTTTATTCAGGTTCAGTAGAATTAACAACATGTAAAACATCACCTCTGCAATAATCATTCATGGTAACAATCATTACCTGCTGTAACACATCCAGGTGTGGTACATATGTTGCCTGAATTGGTGCCATAGTGAGTGCCTGCAGGGAGAGGAATAAGAAAGCAGATAGAATTAGTTGTTTTGGAAAGAAATCGCTACCAGTGTCACTTGCCAGCAGCCCAACCTCAGTGACAGCTCTGTTTAGTTTTAAAGCAAGTGAGTGAATATTAGTGCCAGTAAAAGATACCAAATGACAACCGTGAAGAAACATCTTATCTACAGATTTATAAGGAAAATGTATTGGAAGCAGTATTACAACAGTTTTGACAGTGAATTTTAACTTTCCTGGAAGGAGACTAAGACCAGTTGTTTGGTTTGTTTGTTGTTTTGGTTTTTTTTACCTGCTAACTGCCTCTACAGTCTTTCTGACACATACTGAAAGTATGAGATCCTTTTCTAGATAACCTACTAAGATGATCTGAGCATCTGAGCTCTTCCGTGATCTTCAAAGTCACCATGGCTGAGAGGTTTAAAGAGGGGGAAAAAGCCCATAGCTGGATTTACTGCTTTCACACTGTAGTCACAAAGATCAAATGGGTGGAGGGGGGAGCTGGTAACAGATCTGTGTTTGGTTAAAATTTCAGATATGCCCTTCAAGGTTACTCCTTGCTGTTCAGCAGAGGTTGCTCCCTAATCAATGATGTTTAGGGCTGATGAAATAGTGTATAATGGAGACTGTGGACCTATGTTCAAGTCTGAGATAAGCCTGGAAAAGTCCAGTGAAGTCATTATCGGTGATCTCCAAGTAGCAAATCTGAGTAAGCGTAGTGCAAACTGTGCTAAGAGCTAATGGGTGTACTAGTTACCAGCTGTTTCAGTTGTTACATGAGCACACGTCTAGTAAAACATGAATTTTGTTCCATTGAGACCTTGGCTCAGTCCTGTTAATCACTTTCCTCAGTAGTTTGAAAGCAGTCAAACTTGGGAACTCTGGGGACCTTCATGACTCGCTGGTTTCAGCCCACGAAGGAGGAGTGATGTGATGGGGAATTTGAGAGGGAGCACAGGCAATGAAACCTTAGCAGAAGCATTTTGCTGTGACTTCTAAAACAGAAGAATTTGATGTGTGCCTCTATATGGGGAAATGGGTCTGTATGCTCATTCCAGCAGAAGCTGGAAAGTGCTGCTCCTGGCTATTAAGTTTCTATTTTTGACCACTTAGCCTTGGTTTGTGAAATTCTTCCAGTGAAGAAGATCCACAAAAAGCCTATGCACTTCTAATGCATTGATGGTGAGTAGAAACTGGAACAGACCCTAGCTTTTATTGCTTGGTACTCTACACTAAATGTAGTGCTAGGAGTTTGATGGCAGCGACTCCAGAGGGTCTTGATGTGAATTCACAGCCGTAAGTTCTACCCCAGCCTGATGAGTGGCCTTGGCCCTGGGCACAAGAAAATTAATTTTGCTGGTTTAATTTCCCACTTGTGAAACTGGACTAGCTTAGTATCTACTTATGTTAAATAGACAGCTACTTGGTTCCACACTGGAAAACGAAAACTTGATACCCTTACTTTCCAACAGGATTAGCCATGTTTTTAAACATATTTTTGATCCTTACACTATGATGTTTGCAGAAAAGAGTTACTAAAAAAATTCCTTCCAATGAAAATAAGTGTTTTACATGACAGCAAACAAGATTACACTAATTCAGACAGAAATAAAACAGTAGGGGAGAAAAGAGGGCTTGGAAGTTCATCAGTGGAAGCAACATAAAAAGCCCCCACTGTGATTGGGAATGTAACATTCAGGGTTCAGCTGAGTGCTGTCGTGCTGTGTGGGAGTAGATCCGCAGTAGAATAACTGTATGCCTTATTATAATTTAGTGTCTAGCAGTCTGAACATGGGATGAGCAAAATACATGTAACAATGTGAAGCTTCACACAGAGGGGTTTAGGGGTTTTTTTTTTTTTAGCACTGGATGAAGCTAAGCCCAATTTTTGGAGTTTCTTAAACTCTCTAATAACTTAAACTTGCCTCCCCCCCCCCCCCAAAAACCAAACCAACAAACAAACAAAAAACCCCAACACCCCCAAAACTCCAACACAACCACCAAAAGTCCAGAGTATTTCCAAGAATAAAAAAATCCTTTGGGGGGAAAAGAAACTAGTGGTTCAAAGGCATATGGAAATTTTCCATAAAGCAGAAATAGCAATGGGCAAGGTGAGAAAGAGATAATTTTTTAATTTTTTTTTTTAAATCAAAGCTTCTCTCTTTAATATAACCTGACGTTTAACTTCATTTTCCAGAACAAACTGCTTTCAACAAGATTCTAACTCCCCACGTTCAAAAAGCCCTTGTGATTGTGAAAATGTAATTGAGCTGTATAAGTAGGGAAGCCAAATCTGTTTTGAAACCTTGGTTGCACACTCATGACTCTGAAACTCTGCCACAAAACCAGATAATTAGAAATGGCTGGTGAGGGGCTCTCAGTTTACTTCTAAAAGTGGCTCCTTTGTTTTTCTATCAATTATCTCTTTTATGCCTCAGTACCGTTCCTGACAAAGAACCAAGCCAACCTGACTCCGTATGAGATATGACCAACACTGCCCTGTTTTGCTTCACAATGTACTTGTTGGGTCTTTGCTCACTTGACTGAGGCTCTGCCTACTGCACCTCTTGAACTTCAAATACCTAGGAACAAATGTAAAATGCACCTTCTAAAGTCTCAGCTAGACAACTCTATGCACTTCATTTTCTCAAACTACTTGAGAAACAACTGCCCAAGTTTTCAGTATAAACGTAGGTATTTCTCTATGTATTTATTTTTCCTTCCTGGTTAAATATTGCTGACATGTTGAGCTGTAATGACATAAGAGACTCCTACTTTGACATCCATGGACAAAGACTGCTGGAAGTACAGACATGGGAGGGACAACTTGGATTAATGTTCTACAAAGCCTAAAAGTTGAAACAAAACAAATGTCTAGCAGGGTTTAGATGGATGTGATGGGAAACTTCCGAACATAAAATCGTAAGTGGGACATGGGCTCATGTTTGACACTGTAAGGCATGAAGCTAGTAATTTGCAGCAGAGGAAAACTGGCACGTTGTTCAGCTCTGAATCCCATGTTAGCCCTGCTGCATCGAAAGTAAACACATCAGTGGAAGGGTTTGTAGGGAATCAATACTTGTCTCCTATCAAACCTTACCTCCCACTTGTCTTCTCCCACAGCCAAGTTCATCTAGAATCTAGCCACTTATATTTTTTTTCTCTTTCAAAATTAATCACTCCATTTTCCCACCTCTTTCTTCCGAGATACCCTTCCTTGGGTATACTTTTTAAAACTATCAAAGAGGGATGTCAAAAGAACAGAAATGGGCCAGAAAGATTTAATCACTCTAACTACTTTGTGCAGTACTAAGTTCCTTCGTGGCTCTCAATTCAGGACCTTTGCAGTATCACCCTTGCATTTACTTCATTAAGAAAGGCATACTCTTGCTCTGTTGATAGTCTTGTAAATAGAAAAGAACCATTGAACCCTCTGCAGACTGAAGGCTTTCTTCACTTTCAGTCTGACAGAGCACCATCAGAGAATTGATAAGGGAAGGTAAGCTTTAATGGAGCTAAATAAAATTACCTGAGCTGTGGGACTACTCCAGATGGAAGAAAATGAGAGAAAATAAGCACTCCAGACACTACTTCAGAGGTCAACTGCTCACTTGAAAAATGGCAGAGCTGGGACATGCTTCAGGGCACACGGAGCTCAGTGCAGAGAATTCTATTGTCTTAATTTGACTTTACAAGAAGCCATTGAACAATATTACATTTACTGGTCAGCAGCAGGATATAAGAATAACTTCTGAGGTCTGTAGAGCACTGTAGTCCTCTTCAGCAGGTCATCTTTTGAATGATAATTTTTTTTCAAATAAAAGTTGCTTTTCACAGCCTTATCGAAGTTCTTTTTAGACAACAAAAGCAAAGCAAATGATTCCGTACAGTCTCTGAAGCACAGTTTGTGTTTAGTGTTTTCCCACTGTGCATTTTGAGGACCACAGATGGCTGGAGATGGCACACATTGAAACAATTAGATCCACAGTTGTCATCAGGCAGTCAAGTGTGAGCTTTACCTTTCAGCACCTTATCTTTTCTCACACAGATCTCATCTGCAGAAGTGCTGTCAGCACTGCAGACTGCCTTTGTTGCTAACAGTCAATTGTTTGCAACAAATAATGTAATTGCCAAATTTAGCTTTTCTCCCTCTGAGAGGGCTGTCTATACCAGATGTCAGTGTCTTCAGATGGACTCCATAACACAAGTGTTTGTTTTTATTCCACCTTTCTTATGATTTCTTACCTATAGTCTACCTATAATCATGGCGGAGACAGAATTTCATGTAAGAATCGGTAAGCTGAGTATTTGCCCACTTTTGCAGCCCTGTATGGCCTGTCATTCCACATTCATGTAGCTCCATCTGAGTACAACTGAGAAGAGTCTTGCCACCCAAATGTCATTTCATCATGACTTTTGTGTTAGCTGCCGCTTCTTTAAATTCTCCATTTCCTTTGAATAGATGCCTCATTAATGAATGTTCATGAAGTCAAAACTAGGCAGCAGTCTAGGAGACAAGCCAGATCTCAGCCACAACCTTTTCTTAGTGTGCCAGTGACCAGTTTAGATATTGCCCCTAGCCAGCAGGTTCTTGCAAATCTATTTTTCAAGTGCATGTTAATTGCATTCACAGCATAGGAAATGCAGGAGCATAACATGGCTTTCTGAAATCCACTCCCAGAACAAGGTGCTGATAAATTTGAGTGTCGTATTTCTCTTCATTTATTTGTTTGTAGCCTGCCTAACCGGATAGAGTGTAGGTGAATAAGCGTGCCCTCTAGCTTTCTAGCAGCCTGTGTAATAGATGTGAATAGTGATAACCCGTGGGGATGCAGACACAAAAAAGATAATCTGTGAATCTTCCTTCTGAGAAACCTACAAACTTGGAAGCCAGAAAGTGAATAAAATATCAATTAAACTAGTAACATGACTTTTGAGCAGTCAGAACCAGCAATTAGGTGAGAATGAAAGTTGTTTGTAACTAAGTTGTCTGGAAAAGTCACTCACTGTGACTTGATGTCAGCTACAATAAGTGTTGAAATGTTCTTCAGGCTGTAACCTTTCCAACAAGTGATGAGATTTGGAGTTTAGTAAATATTTGTAGAACATAGCTGAGAAAGAGCTGTGAAAAGGCTGCAAAGATGTACGCGTGGGTGTGATGGAAAGATTGAGAGCGTGGTGTATTCAGATTCAAAAACAAATTACTTCAATTCCGTCTGCTTCCCTATCTATGATCACCCAAATATTACTCTGCTATTCTTACTATATTTCCTTTTAGCTTATTTAGATGAGGTTTTATGGGTATGAAAACTTCTTTGGATGTCAAAAATCCTCAAACTGCTTCTAGAACTGTATAACTGCATTGCTGTGAGAGCTTCAGTGGTTTTGTTGTCGGGGTATATAGATAAGTCACAGTCAGTATGAATACGTATTATGGGCATTATTGCTATAACCAGAGGCCTGTTTCATGCACCACAATGCTCTTCTGCAAGCTATATACAAGCAGAGCAAAAATGTACTCCCTGAACCACAAAGCCTATGTATACCTTCATATATAAAAAAAGAGAGAATGTGAGGCAGGATAGGTAATCCTTTTATTTTTCCATTAGCTAAACAGAATTACTTTTTAGAAGTCGGTCTGGGCAGTGTCATTCTGACACAGGATGTACAAAGATGAAGTGGTGAATCTGAATCTGCTCTTAATAAACAATCCAGTGTCCCATACACACTTCAAAATTAACATTCGAGTGAAATTAGAAATAAAGGAATCCCAAGGATAACATTCTTAGTTCTAACACAAGAATGCTGCTCAGCTACATTTTCTTCCTGTTGCTGTGCAGGATTTATATTTATGTTACACAGCTTTGAGCAATACACGCTTTTCACTTGGTAAGTCTAAGAAAGACTTCAGCCTTTTGACTGAGCATTGGGTATGGACCTAGATGTAACATCAAAACAGAACCAAGTGGAGCATTTGGACAACACTTTTCAAGACAAAAATGTTCCTGTTCTGCAGGAACATTCACTGATTGCACTGAAGAGCTCTTGCTTTCTCAGTTTTAGACCCAAATAGTGCATATAGGCATGCATCTAAAAATGCTGTAGACTAAAGTTCCTGCTGCTCAATTCCTACCTGTGAATTACCTAAAGCTTGTGGCTACTCTAGAGTCTAATGACCACATTTTGGTGTCTCCTATTGCAGTACTTCAACTATGTACGCTCCAATGTAAACTGGCAGAAACTGACACTAGGTCAGTGCTGAAAACAGTTCTTTAAGGCATGAGAAAAGAGCCGGGAGGAGCTGCACGCTGTACAGGACAAGCAGCATTATCAGCTCTGCGATCACCTTGCACTTGCATTTTGCTCAGGAATGTCTGAATCCGGGAAACATTTCCAATGACAGTTTAATTGCTGAGACAAGCTTGCAAAATATTTAGATTTTGGAACTGTTTTTTCACAGATAAGCCTTCCATCCAAGAAATGTAATAGTTAGCACTTGCTTTACGTGCACAGACTCTTCCCATGGATTTGGATGAGACACGAACATTTGGGAAAATATTATTAATACCCAAATTCTGATTTCCCTGAACCTAAGCAGCAAGATGTAGAGCAGATGTCTCAAATCCTTTATGCGTGCAAGCAACAAAATTCTGCATACCTCAATATTTTGATAAAGAAACTCCTGACCTAGGACCTAGGTCTGGGGAATTTCTTTCCTCCTGTCTCCCGAGCTAATACAATAAATATAAGCAACTTTCTGATGAGTATTATGAATACCAAATACTCACAGATTTCATCTAACACTGGAACAAATGCTGGTAACATTCAATTGCTGGTAGCAAAAGGAGTAAACAATATAAAGACTTTTCTCATGCATTATTACTCAGAATTGTGCAATGTTTTACTTACGAGTGCTGAAGCAAGCAGTTCACTGCAGCCAGGGGATGCAGAGACGTTTTAAGGAGAAAGCAATGCCTTGCTTCAGTTTTGCTGTTCCGACTTCCTAGTTTTAGTCTCTAGTGTTTTAGCAAAGCTCTGAATCCAAGAAGCATTCATGCAAATGACAAACATGAAGCAGGTGCTGCTACCAATCATGTCAATTGCTTCACAGATTTTTTAAATAGGACGGTGCATTTGGTCTGCTAGTGGAAAAACTTCGTTTTGAGAGTAAGCATGCTCTGCAGTTAACATATTAGGCAAAGCACCTCAAAGTAATATGCCTCACTGTCAGGTTCCTGACAAGACATTTGCATGAAAGTCACAGAACCAAATCTCCCTTAGAGATCAAATTGCCTGATGTAATATTTAAAAAGTCTCTCTTTCCTCAGCAGCACACTGGCTTTCTTTTTTCTTTTTAAAAAAAAAAAAAAAGCTTTCACATTGTAATAAGCAATCTCCCCTTTAGATCTGCTACGCAGCTGTTGCTTTGTAACTCCTGGCAATAATGAATCTTAACTCGGGCTTCTACAAAACAAGGAAATGTCAAGCCTTACACACAGATGCACAGATACACACCTTCTCCTCTAAAATAGTGCAACATTTTTTTTACCTTTGTCAAAACAATGCTGAATTCAATAAAATGCATAGAATTAATTAAAAGCATAGAGTCTTACATCACGTAATTTAAAAATGAAATAAAATCCAACATAATCCTCTCTGTGCATGAGCATGGAACAAGGCAGAAATAGCCAAGTCCCTCACAGAGGTGACCTCACTGTCTCCCTGTATTTTTGTTTTTGCAGAGCTAAATGAAAAGACTTGTATGTTGTTTGTGGAGGGAAGAGGGGAATTATTCACAGGTTCCTTACCTCTGCTGCTGGCATACAGGATCACCAGGGCGACCACTGCACAAGTCATGAGGAGCAGCAAGACAGCCAGACCGATTGCCACAAAGCTCCAGGATTTCTTCCCAGATTTTGTTGATTTTTCCACAATATCCATTTGACTTTCTGATTTCCCCATTATTGTAACTCTAAATTGAGGAGGGGAGGGTAAGAAAGAATTAACAGCACAGCTAAATCAATAGAGGGATAAATGCATGACAAATCAGGGAGGAAAAGGAAGCAGAATGAAAGCAAAGACAGATAAAGAAAACTTCCAAATTATTACATGTATTTGTCCATTTGATTGTCCACAGATTTGCCAACCTCATTCTCCATCTCCTGTGCCTGCCAGATTGTCTGCACTCGGGGTGTGCTGCTGCGGGCTGTTCTGGACTACACTACCCTAGGCTCTCAGTGGTGCAGTGTCATAACTTCAGGAGCCTGCTTTGCGAAGTATGGAAAAGTCTCATCACCAGCTTGGGCAACTCCTTTCTCCCAGACAGGGAAGGAGGGGAAAAACTGCCTTCTTCCACTCCCCACTTCGAAAAGTGTCTTGCTGTTTCAAAGAATTTTCCTCTTTTTTTTTTTCCTCTGTGGCTATGAGTAGGTCTGCAGAGCTCTGTTACCAGCAGCAGAATCCAAAAAGAGATCCTTCCAGGTGTGAGCGCCTTTGAGCTGTGTCTGCTCCGTCCTTAGCACACGCGAAGGGTTGGGAAAGTAGAAGGCTCCTAGAACACGTGTCAGCTCCCAGGTCTGCAGGAGTTTGTGCCTTCCAGCTTCTCAGTCTTCTCAGAGCCATGCTCCAACTTGGGAGCTCAGCCGTGTGCGGATCCCAGCTCCAGGCAAATGCTCCCGAGCAGCGGGGGGAGGAGGGCTTGCATCACAGCAGCAGAGAGCACTGGGCTCTCGGAGCCTGCAAGCAGCACCAGCTCCGCTCTGCCGCAGCTTCTCCTAAACTTCCTCTAGCTTTCCTGAAACCTGCTCCCAGGTTATTTAGTTGGCTGCTGCACTCGCAGAAGGAGCGTGGAGTCAGAGAGGTGCAAACCTATCGAAACCCTCTGGCTCTGGGAGCGCTGGCAGCTTTTGGGTGCGATATACAGGAACAGCTTCTCGTTTGAAAACACACCGATTTATCGATTGTTGCAGGCTATACACAGGATTCTTTTATGCTACTGCTTGGAAATCTATCTGGTAACAACTGGGAAAGACAGTAAAAGCAAGGGCAGGATAGGCATCTGATTCTCCTGGGGTTTTATTTTATTCTTTTCCAGAACTGACTTCAGAATGAGGGAGAACCAGCTTGGTTTGGGTTGGGTTTTTTTGGTTGAGCTTTTTTCTTTCCCCTGTAGGTGGGTTTATTGAGCTAGTGTAACTGGCTGCCAAAGTTCACACTGTACAAATTTTAAGGTTGGTACCTCTCTCGACCCGAGTGCTTCACCAGCATTCCAAGTTTTGTGTATACTTGGGAGGAAGGGCTGAGGGCAGAGCAGGATCTCTTTGTGGCAGCCCTGTTTACTGGGAACGTACAAGCAGAGTGTTCCAAGAATGTGAACACAGACCTGTTTCCGTCAATGGGGTAGGAAACAATGAATGCCAGTGTCTTCTGCCAGGAGTCTAAGTCTCCTCTTCTAGTTGCTACTCTGCCTCAAATCCCCTATGAGAATTTGCCTTTTTTTTCAGAGTCATATTATCTTAGGCTTCTGTCAAGTGTGAAGGCAGCTATTCTCATCCCACCATCTGAAGAGGAGTATAAGAACACAAGGATCTGAAAGAAACGCATGCACTTGCAGATCCTGGGTGTCCATATGTGAAAACTAGCTACAGAAGGGAAGGTTGCTTTTAAGGACAATGCTATACATTTAATGAGTTAAGTGAGCTCTTATTTCTATTTGTAGGAAGTTGTACAGCTAACAAAAGATTAGTTTCCTATGGATGTGAATCTTCCTTATTGCTGAACAGCTTTATTGTTACCTTACAATTAAGCTGGCTCTGAGGACGGTCTCCCTAGTTAAGGTCCATACTATTGCAATAGGCAAGCGCTTCACAGGATTTAATGTAGTTATTCTTGTAACATGGCTATAAGATACCAAAGGGCATTATTTTGCCCGTTTCACTGGTGGCGAATCAAGATGCCAAGAATTGAAGAGCTTTATTCCTACTGCTTTCTATGTATGCCTGTTGTAGCCATTGTGACTAACACGGTCTCTGAGGCTAGGAATGCTATGAGTGATTCAGACTGCCTGCTACTCAGCCTGCAGACCCTAGCCCCCCCTGTAATCAAGAGATAAGAGGACTTACAAAGTCCTAAGTAACTTCTGTATAAATTATTTGAACATGGCCCAAAGTGACTTAATTGAGGTTGTACATGAGCACCAAGAATATAGATCTTTTATGTCCCCAGAAAATTCATAGATTCCCTCAAAAAGCATTGACCTAATCATAAAGGAAATACTTTTTTTCCTTCCTTTTTTTTTTTTTTTTAAATTTTTGGGGAAGTGGGAACTATATCAGGAATCTCTTCCTGTATCTATAATGGCTTCAATTCCTTGTAGAGCTGAGGAAAAGGTGTACTCTTTCCAATAGGAAATACAAGGAACTTTGGGTGTAGCAATGGCATTGGCTTGCATTTTCTAAAGGTTCTGCTAGGCCAAGCTGAACATTAGACTGGAAAGTCAGTACTGACAAATATTTTTTATTTCCTTTACTCTTGCAGTTTAGCTCTGAAATAAACTGCTTAGTATTTGTAATGAAAATACTTCCATTGTCAGTTCTCAGCCAGGTATCAGTGACAAATGGTTGAGGTAGTGCTGAGCCTGTTTTGGGTTAGAGAATGTCAGAAAAGGGAGAAAATGATTAGTAAGTTTATCATGTCCCTTCACATCCTATTTTAAATTGGTTTTTTACCTGTTTTTCTACACTAAGTCAGCATCTGGGTGAGCAACAGCAGTGCATAACCCAAAGCAGTCATCCAGAAGTTCGCAGCTGTTGCAGAGAAGTAAAGGAAGTGCCTGACTATTAATACCATTTTCTATTGGGAAAAGTTGTTTTTATCCTCTTAAGATTCAAATTTGGACTGATTGGCAAACACAGCACATAATTTAAGCGTCATAGGTAGATATACATTGTCTTTTCCAGGCAAGTATAACCAAGTCAATTGGAAGCCAATAGGATGTGCCTGACAGTGAGGCAGAGCCAATACAGGCTCTAAATACAATCAGAACAGCCCGTAGGCTTAGGAGCAATTGTTGCAACTAATGAGCATCCATCCCACTGGTGTGTGCCTTCAGGCAATAAAATTTATACAGAATATACAGAAAGCAGATAATAAAATCCTATGTGCTGGACCTTAAGAAGCTGAAATTGGTCGTTGTTCTTAAGGTATTGTTGAAATAAACAACTGAGCACTTTTGCTGATGAAAGACACTGGGAAAATTTGATGTGGACATTCCTGAAGAGAATCCTTTTGTACCTTTTAACTGAGAAGGAAGTATTTTTTCTTCTACTTGATGCATCTATTGGCAAATTCCCCCCCTAAGGAGGGGCAAGCAGAGCTAATATTAAAGGCAGTCAAGGGAGCTGTAATTATGTGTGTGAGAGCAGAATTATGCCCTGAGTATAGACATGCTGAGGGTGGGAAGGCTTGAATATTTTATAAAGGACTTCTATGGGTGTGAGAGAATCTTGTGACATGATGCGTTTCTGCTTTGTGCTGAAGTTTGTGAGGGGAGACATGAGCTATAAAATACATGTTGATAGACACAGAGATAGCAATACCAGACAGTATGATTTGATTTAAGAATGATGTATCTTGTTTTCATTAGATGTTTCTCTTCATGATGGGAAATCTGGTAACAAGTATTTAGATTGCTGTGCTGTAAGTAAAAAAAAAAAAAAAAAAAAAGTGCTTCTCTTCTGTATGAGGAAAAGCACCAGCAACTGTAAAGGACATATTTGCAGAATCATTAATTTTGATTTGTCTTGAGCAACTTTGTGTGGTCACTGAAATAGAGTAATCCGTCATTTTGACAGTTCTCCCCTAGTGCAGTGAGGTCCCTGTTCATTGCTTCTAAGGGGAAAGACCTATTTTGGTTTCTGACACAGTCTCAGTATCACCTTGTAGCCTTTATGGCAAAGGAGATCTGATGATGCAAATTAGAAGTGGGTTTTTTTGTTATTTTTTCCCTAAACCTCACATTTGACTAAATTATTCATAAAATTTTTTCTTTCTGCAGTGCATTTCAACTGGAAATTTCTAAAAGCAGTTCCTTTATATCCTAATGTGGAAACTGAGGCACAGGGAAGTGTGGTGACTTGCCAAAGTTACAATGGCAGTCACCGCCTGCAGAAATTTTCGTGTACTAGTCTTTCATCTGCTGGTCTAGTTCACGATCCATTAGACCCTTGTTTTACAAATTAGCTTTAGAAGTGTAATCTCTCTTTGCAATACTGTGAAAGTGAACACCAATCTGGAGATTTCTTCTTCCAGAAATTGAGAAACAGTAGGGGTTTTCAGTTACTGGAAAACATGCTCTTTCCTCAAAGCAATGTAGATGCAAAACATAGGAAGCAATGAGGCATTTGCTGTTTCTATTGGACTACTTTGAAAGGATTTTTCCCTTTTCTCTTGCTTGTAACTAAAGGAGCTGCTTCTGTTACTGGATTTTGGATTTGTAAAGATCTTGCAAGGGCAGGGTTGCGGTTTAAAAAAGCCTCAAATCATAGATTTTTACACTTGGATCCTGGATGGGTGGGGCTTGAGTACCCAATCTGGATGACTGCCTCCTTTTAGGATGTTTTTACTGTGAAATTTAAGACCCCATATATGACTATTTACTAAAGAGGTGCTTCCTCAGGCATAAGGCATCCCAACTGCACAGAACTATTGTGGTTCCGAGAGAGAGGGAGCTGTCTGGAGTTTTTATGCAATGCTTTTCTTCTTGGGAAAGTTTCTCAAGTTGGGGAGAAATTTATGGTCAGAGAGCTCCAGCCCTGCACAGCAAATAGCTGAGCCCATGCCTCACTTGCCTGGGAGACTGTACTTGATTCAGGGCTGTGAATATTTCTGCTTTCATATTTCCCTTGGAGAATCTGGAATAACCATGGGTATACCTGGGACACTGCACTGGGAGAAGATAGTATTCAAGGATAC